AATCCGACTACTAGATATACAGCCAAAAGATATAAGATAAACATGTCAAAGAGACACCTGAACTCCCATCTTACTGGAGCATTATTCACAAGATTCACCTTATGAGGCTAGTCTATGCGTCCCTCAGCTGATGAATGAGCTAAGAAAACATAATCTACACAATGGAATGCTGATGAGCCTTTCCAAAGAAGTACATGCTGTCATTGGCGATAATGTGGATGAACCTAAAGAACACAGTAGTAAGTAAAATAAGCCAAGCACAGAAAGGCAACCACAAGATCTCGCGGACATACACAACTCGGAAGTTGACTTTATGGAAGCAGAGAGTGGAACGGGGCTGACCAGGGGCTGGGGCAGGGGCTGATTTGAAGGGTGCACAAGTTCAGTTGGATATGAGGAAGGGGCCTAAGACAGCTGCAGCGTAGGGACTGGAATGGAAAACAGTGGATTGCACTTTTGAAAAATCATTAGAAAGTTAAATTTTAAGTGTTCTTACTGCACAAAATAATTACACGAAGCAATATACATATTAGTTAGCTTAATTTAGCTATTCCACTGTAGAGCTCTCTCAAAACTTCATGTTCTACACAACAGAGACAATTTTTATTTGGCAATGAAAAATAAATTGTTTTAAAAGCTGAAAAAAAATAGATTTGAGCACCCTATTATGGGGAAAATACATGTAACGGCTCTTGTTGATGGTGTTTCAGGCTTCGGTAATGAACTCATTCTTCTTTTTGAACATTGCCTGCAAATTCATTGCCTGCAATTTCCAGTTCCACAACCACTGTTGGAGGCCCCCTGGGCCTGACACGTTAGGGATTTGAATTTGGGGATTTGGAAGCACGCTAGGGCACATCTGCATCCTGTTGTGCAACATCCCTGCGAGGTCTGGGGCAACCCCAGTAATTAAAAACAGGAATGCTGCCACATAAAATAAAATGAAAATTCACACTATTGGAGCTTCCCATCCATTCTGGTCAGACTTTAAATGAATTGCACCAAATGAGGCTTTGTCTCAAATTGAATTACAGAAAAATTCTCAGTTTCTAGAGACATTCAGAAGGTTGGCATAATGCCAGGTTCCCCAGCAGAATGAAAAGAGCATTCAGCAGGGCCCAGTATTAGAAATTACACACCTGGCCTGACACAAGCCACTTCTGCACATGCACAGGGCAGAACTGGCCCAGGCACAAGATCCTGCCCTGCACCCAGGAGTGAAAGAGGCAGGAAGGTGTCGTCTCATGGGGCTGTCATGGTGATGAGAACCTCTGTTCATAAAGCACTTAAAAAAGCACCCAGCACCACCCCACATGCTGTTTAGATACATTGCTGCTGCTGCTGCTGCTGCTGCTGCTGCTATTTAACTAAATGGATTCGTACGTTGTCAGGCCATTAGCTCACCTTTCCGACTTCTCTTATTCAGCTGAATTCACTTCTGGCCCTTTCCCAGTTCTCCCTCAGAGCCCTGTCACACAGATGCTGATCCACACTTGGTACAGACACACAGCTTGGAGGATGCTGTTTTCCTCCAGCCTCACCTGTCTCACAACTTCTGCAGCCCAGAGGGATCCAGAAAGGCAAACTCAGGAAGGGAAATGAACCTAGTAACATCGAGATGTGGAATTCTGTGAAGATCCAAGTTCTAAATGTGTTTCTTACAAAAATATTTATATTTCAAGCTGCGGCATGCAAACAGCAATCTGTACTTATTGGTTTCAGATGCCAATTTCCTCCTGCTCTGGTTCTTCTCTGCATTACATAAACACATGACAACCATCTGGACTATAAGAAGCCATGTGGCACCATGTGCCCAATAATCACAAAGGCATCCCATCAAAATAGGATGGCACAGAACTCTGCCTCACTGGAAGTAGGAGTGAGCATCTCTGCCCTTGCAAAACCGTTTGAAAAATGTAGTTCAGGTGTCAGAGCTTAGAACTTCAGGAGGGCAACAAAATTGAGCCTATAAAATACTTATCACATGGATAAGTAGGAACACACATGAGAAGATCACACCTCACAGCATTGCCTTTGTCCTGAGCAGTCCAATTCTGCACCCTCCAAAGCATCCAGGAAAGCAAAAGGCCGTGGGAAAGGATCTTAGCCATGAGAAATCAGGGAAGAGATTGCTACCCAAATCATTCAGCATAGTCAGAAAACCAAAGCTTTCTTTTTGATCCAATGAAGGAATGTAATACTTTATTACAGTTGCAAGCAATGTATTAAATTCAAATTCACCAGTATCAAGAAACACAAATTCTTCCAAAAACAAAGGAGTCTGGCAAAACAAGTTAAGTTTCTCCCACCTGCCCACCTGGACTCCTGAGGTAAATGCTAGGCTTCATCTCCCTGGTATCATTCTAGGGGCTAAAAGCATCTTCCCAGAGCCAAATAGAAAGACAATGACCGTGGCCGGCCTTGCCCACAGGTGAAACACAAGAATTTTTGCTTCTTTTCCCTCTGCTAAAAATATCTCCTCACCAATGTAGCACAGAGCCAGATGTGTCCACCCTTTGGGAAAGACACCCGTTATCAGAGGTCAGCCTCAGATTTGTGAAATCTGAACACTGTGGAAAGAAGGCCCAGAGAGAGTGAGGTATACATGGACTTTGGGACAGCGGAAACAATGGTCTCTGTGTGAGTCAGCTTTCCCATCACAGCAGGACAAATACCTGACTCAGTGGACTTATAAAGATAGAGGGTGGATTTCTCCTCACAGCTCTGGCAGCTTTGGCCCACGAATGCCCACTGCACTGGCCCCGCAGCCCATCATAGCAGAAGCACCTGTGGGAGCAAAACTGCTCCTCTCATGGCTGGGAAGAAAAGAGATGACTAGGAAGACGACTATGAGCCCCAAGGTCCCCATCCCAAGTGCACCCCATGACCCGGAGACCTCTGCGAGGCCGCAGCTTCCTGAAAGTCCACTCTGGGGAGCGAGCTTTCAACACCTGGGCCTCCAGGAGGTGAGGGGGAATTCCAGATCCAAGCTACAGGGAGGACTGGGAGGTTCTGTATTGAGGAAGGAAGTGTGTGGCCATGGAAATGCAGTGTCAGGAGGATCCCTAACCTCCTGGTCATCATGAGTTTACCCAGTGTCTGGTTATCCTGCCTTACCACCCTTAACCTGTGTAGATGCAAATCAATCAAAGCTGAACCTCGATCCACTCGTTTGGTGTCCTAGAAACACAAATGGAGGCCCATGATCACACTTTCCACCCGATTTAATATGTCTCACGACATGGACATTGCTCAGTTATAAAATTCACCTCTTTGGCTGTACACATGGATCTCAATAATTTGACCCTGGTCCCAATGAACTGTGCCTTCTTTTGGCCCAGTATTTTGTTAAGGTTTCAAAACCAGATACGACTTCTCAAACTGCTATGCGCCAACTTTGTATGCCAACTAATTGAAAATATTTTGTAACCCATGACCCAAGACAGATCAGAGGATTGAAACAGATATGTGCAGAGACCCAGGAATGCCCCCCCTCCAGACTCTATCAGAATTGTGTCTCCAGTTCTGAGTCGGTTGATGGGCTATTCTTCAGTGGAACTCCTAAAAAACAGAATGACCACAGAGAACTCTAAATTTTATGGTGCCAACCTAGTATTCGATTATGAAAGGATCAAAACCACCATTAAATCTCCAAGGAAAATCCTTCTAATCATAATACTGAGATAAATAAAAGGATACAAAAAAGTACGGGCCCTTGTTTCATAAGTTGTGGCTGGAGGAAATACTTTAGAGGAAATTGCTTACCCTGCATGTATTATAATTTGCTATAATCCAAGAGCAGAACTCCCATCTCTCCTTGGTCTGTGCTGCTTTCGTACTGTAAGTAGTCTGGGGATCAGGCCTGAGGTTCTAATCCCATCTAGTTGGCTCTACTCCAAGCGACTCCCAGCCCATCATTCAACTGCTCAACTCTACCATAATACTGTTATGTCATCAATGGCTTGAAATAACTTCCTAATCCTCTGGAATACTTTTCTCTGTGCACAAATCACCAAAACCCAGAAGTCAGACTTCCCGTTAGTTGTGCTCAGTCAACAAGGCCTGGGCTTCAGAAGTTGGCAGAAAGAGCTCAAGTTTATAAAACAGCTAGCATAAACTCTGCTCTGTGTGTCACACAGGGCCGTGCACTTCGGTTTAGGGAAAGGGTCCTCTCCTACTGCAAGGTTGCCTGTGTTTTACAACATGGCACAGTGGTGTGGGTTTACAACAGGAACACTCACCAAGGAGGGAAGGTTGGATCCAGTCAAGTAGCCGGCTGAAGAGGTCAGAGAAATCTCAAGGAAACTTTAGAAAGATCTCCGAATGATATTTACTACAGGTGATTTCTAGGAATATCGTCTCTAAATCAAGTGTGTTCCTAGAAAATGTTCATACACAGGAAACCCCATTCCCTAGTCATTTCAAATCAAGGTGTCACTCTGCTCTTCTCATCCTTGCAGGGCACACCCAGCGATGCCACCCCTGTGGTATCAAGAGAGCAAGGAACTCCCATGGCCACCACTGCCTGTTCTCCATGGCTCAGTGGGACCTGCGCCACAAGCCTGGAAGACATTTTTACAACAGGCATCAAACTGCAGGAGAGGAAGGAGTTAAAAAGAGTTTGTGCTGTTTTGAGGAAGCCAAATTATGTCTTTGGCAGAAGACAAGGAAAGAAAACTTCTAGTGCTTAAAACATCTGCTTCCTAGCCCAAGGGGCATCCCTTCTAATCCATGTCCCTAACAACTCTTTGTTTTGTCAGCTTGACCTGAGGGTCAAAGCGAACCAGGCTTGATTGAACACAGACTCAGCACCCACCCTGAACAGGCTACCTCCGAAACTCGCTGATCACAGAACAGGCTTTTCTGGTCCTGCAGCACATGAAACAACAGAGCCAACCGCACATTTTCAAAAGCTCCCAAGCAGCCCCAGGTGAACAACGCGCTTGGGCAGCCATGACGCCACATCTCCTCACCTCTCCGGGACAGAAGAGATGTCTTACCTTGCTCTCCTCTCCTTCAAACACAGACTGGTGGACGTTGCATGCAAACAGGGAATTAGGGAGGTCGTTGAAGTCAGTGATCGCCTGAAAGGCTTCTTCGGCAAAGCACCGTGTGACAGCCCAGTCTCTGTCTACACAGCAGAGTAAGAAAAGTCCTCCATCCTCAGGGACATGACCTGGTGGCCCCAGGCTCCTCATGCCGATGAAGTAGGATTCTCCCCGCATGCCAAGACAGGTGTGGGTGAGACCCCAACAAACTCCTCAGGAGTCGATGTTCTGCGGCGAGCAGGGCGGGATGATCAGGAGAGGGAGCCACTACGGAAGGGAGAAGACAGCAAATCTATGTTATTCCCTTGCTTTCTGAAGCAGGGTTTCCGATGCAGCTCTGCCACTTGTCAGCAAGAACCTAGTTAGTGTTATAGTTGAACGAATGAGCACGTGAACAAATGAATGATCGTAATTGGAAAGCACCAGCCCTAGTACTGATCCCCATCATCTATCAGGCACTAAGTGGCAGCACTGTTCTAAAGAACACACATGCATAACAAACCTGTTTAAGCTCCACAACAGCCTCCAGTCCGGTACCTGAGCAATTCAGTGATTTTTACAAGGTCAAGGACAAAACAGCAGGGTGAGGACCGAAACTCAGAGCACTCAACACCAGCATTCTCTGGCCTATGCCACAGGAATGAAGGAGCGCGGGTGAGTGGAAGTCTACGCTCGAGAAAGTGTGACCTGTCTGACTCCTGACCGTGCTGACTCCAGCAGGCAAGCTTATCTGCAACAGGCACACGTCACACACACAACACACACATATGCACATCCCACGTGTGTCTCCTCTGCTTGGAATAACTGCTGCGAGTAATGGTGAACTAGGTCCGGATCCTGAAAACTCAGCGCTGTCTTCTCAGACTCCTCTCCTTGCACAGCCCCAGGAAGCTTCCCAGTGTTGGCTTCATCTAGCTGTGTGCGATCCTTTTGTCATTCCCTACCCCTCTACAGCCCCAACTCGCCCATCTGTAGCGTTATCCCCTTGTTTAATACTGGTACACAATTTAATGGGTTTGGTCAGTATTCCTTCCCTTCTTGAGGACGGCATCTTCTCCCCCCAGCCCGCCCACTTGTGTCTATTTTCATGCCTGTGATGCACCCAAGTTCAATAACAAGGGTCCCCGAGGGTGACGTGCACATGGTTGAGACTGAGTTCCTGTCTGGCTGCTGATCATCGGCAGGGGACTCCATTTCCTTCGAACGCAGCAACCAGACCTCCACGTGGGTGCAGCAGGGTGGGCACCATGAAGCCCTCTCTGCCATCGCCTGGTCTAGTTACACAAGAATACTGGAGCCCCATGCAACATGTAGGCCTCGACTTACTTCTCTCTGAAATTCTCAAAGGAACCTGGTGAGAGTCTGACGAGCAGTATTTGATATAAAATAGAAAGTCTGGTTGAAATAGGAATCACAAACTAAGTAATTTGAGGTAACATCACCAAAATCAAATCACTATAATTGGGATAAATGAAAATGGCATTCTGTACACAATCAAATGGAATCATTCTTCTAGTCTTAAATTTTTTTTTTTTTTTTTTTTTTTACACTATGTAGTTGAGACTGACCTGGAACTCACTATGTAGCCCAGGCTGGCCTTGAACTCACAGTGATTCTCCTGCCTCAGCCTCCCTCCTGAGTGCTGGGATTACGGGCATGCACCACCATGCCCAGCCTAGTCTTAAATTTTTAAAACTCCAATTAATGCAAAATTTTCCTTATTTAAATCAACAACATACTTAAAATAAAAATATATGTTTTCTTCTATGAATAACCTCAAAATGTATGAATATTTTAGTTAGAAGGAAAACATCTAATAAAATCAGTATGAGGGGATTCAACTGCTCAACATTCCCCATGGAATACATATCCATTTATTTTTTCATCTTTATTTATACTGTTACTTAAATTACTTTAGTGTAAGATACATAATGGCCATCATTTATTATTATTAAAGTATTATCTGTAAAAATAATTACTAAGCACATCAAAACAGTATTATTTTCATCAATAAGTTATAGGAGAACCTTTTGATTATAAAGTCAATAGCATGAAACATACATATTGTCAATTCTGCTTTTAATTTTTAATCCTGTCTATCTTATTTAAAATTTTTTAAATGAATCAAAACTGATCTCAAATGTTCTCAGATGTGTCCTGGGAATATCTCAATTATACTTTTTCCAAAAGATAAGCTAAAACTCATGGCTGAACCGTTTAATTAGACCAAATATTAAGCCTCATTTAGGACTCATTTGAATCTACTCAAATAGCTTGAGCTTCTGTTCTAAGGTGCAACAATACGATTATCTTCATGAGACCCTAAGCTCGTTATTTTCAGTAAAGATTGAAAGAGTGAGTGCATTTTTGGCAGATAACCTATCCCACGGATATGGAGAAAGACTTCATAATCCAGAGCTTTGAAGGGAGGAAAACCTTCTGCCACTTTCTAGGTCCCTCAGAGACTGCACATCGGGAGAACTCAAGTGATTGTCCAGTGACTCAGCTTACCCTTATAACACAAGAGCAAAAGCACCTGTCTCCATCAGCAAAGTGAGGGGGAGGCAGGGAACCCAGCAGGAAGGGGGAAAGTTACCAAAATGTATGTTGAGCACTACATAAAAAGGGTATGCAGTATGCAGTGACACAAACACACTTCCTTACAATTTTCTCAGAAGCAAGCAGTCATCACACTTTCGGATTACTGGCAGCCTTGAGGAGGCCCAACTAAAGAGAAAGGAAGGGAAGCACTGAAGGCCAACTTTCTAATAAAGAACTTTCTAATAGAGCCCCCTCAGTCCACACTAACTGGTTTGTCTTTTTAGATTAACTTCAAAATTCCTACCCATAATAAGACCGGCACCATTTGCCTAACATACAATGTGTGTGTGCTATGGGCACAGCGCTCCCATTGCTGTGGCTCTGACTCTGACGCTGGCTGTAGCCCTGGTTCCTTGAGCTCCTAAGCACCCTTCGAGACCTCTCCAATGAAACCACTCCTTGCCAACTCCTATTTTACTGGTCTGTGTCTCAGGCCCACTGTGTTTTGTTTTTACTCTCCTGAGGATTGAACCCAAGGCCTTCGCCCAGAGCAACAATCCAGACTGTTTTAATTTTGAGATGGGGCCCTGCTGAGTTGTTATTTGGCCAGACTTGGCTTGAGTTTGCAATGCTCCTGCCTGGGCCTCGCAGAGGGCTGAGATTGCAAGGGTGTGCCACCATGCCTGGCTCTCTGGTCTCTTTTGGAAGCAGACACTGTGCAGTTTTCATCTTCACATCTTCAGGTTCTACTAGAAAGTCTCAAAATCACATTTGGATTAATGCACTACATCAGAAGGAGTCATTTTCAGAAAGTGACAGACCAGCAAACGGGTAATCGTCAACTCCAAATACACTAATAATACACTATGTAAAATAGGTACACAAACAATGAAGATAACCCTGTCATTTAGGTGTGAGGTCTGATTCATAAAGTGCAATTTTATAAATAAAAAATAAGAATCACTCAAAGGACTCATCTAGTTAAAATGTGTGGAATAGAGCAAAAATAACGTATGTGCCTTTTCTTACATGGGAAAAAGAACTGGAAACCTCAGAAAGGTATAAAGAAATCAGACGCAGAGAGGATGCACGGGAAGGACTGGACATGCCCTGGGGCTGAGCCCACCCCACCCCACCCCTCTGGGAAGGGTTTTTCGATGCAGACACGAGGCCTTGTCTGTCTTGTGAGTCTATGTGAAGGTCTTTGGAAGCCCACAGAATAACGTGCGAAAGAAAAGCGATTTAGGACTGTTTTGGGTTCATCAAGAACAAGCCAATGTGGGTTACACCTGCACCATTACCACCACCAAGGCCTTCTGCCTGAGTGTTTGGTCAGAGGCAAAAGAAACTCGTTAAAATAAAAGCAATGAAAGCCTCCCTCTCACAGCACCAACACCAACAAAGTGAAGGTTACTGATACATTGCAAAGTTAGCAGGAATGAGGAGAACATAAATAATTGAGGCTCATTTCAGCAGAAGAGGAAGCCCAGAGCAAAGGGCTTCCAACCTTCCTTTTACTTTACTAATATGGGAAAATAATTTCCAGCCAAGATTTTCAAATGCCCTGATAGCATTTCTTCACTAAACATTGAAACATGTAAAATGAAGGAAGCACACTTTCCCCTCCACAGGCGGCTGCCTGAAACTTACAGGCACCTGCTCGATATTCACACAGCAGCCACTGAACACACATCGAATGAGTGAAGCAATTACCTCTTCCCCAATAAATGAGGCTGATGAAAACATTACTGAGTTTCTTTACAAGGAATTAATCTTGCCAAAGCTCTTAGATTTCATTCCCGACAAGCATTATATGGTACAATTAGACCCAGGGGCAAAAACACAACATCTGCTTCTGTTGGACATCATTACTGTCACAGAGCCACTCCGTGACATGAGACTCATATTTCCAAATTGCAGAATCCTAAAACCTTCTTCCTTTTTAGGGGATATCTCTGGAGAAAGGGGACCATGAATTTTCATATAGGAGCTCTGGTCTCCTAAACCCCAAACAGGGTATGAAAGGAGGGAGTTAACCACAAATTTTGGTAGGATACTCGAGGAGCCATGAAAAGAAAAATAAGATTGTAAACATCCACAGAAATGTTTAATCTAGCTTTATGGTCAAGTAAAACCACGGGACAGAAGTGTGATGGGTGGCCTGCGGCGGTGTTTTAATATCCCAATCCTCCTGAGAGTAAGAGAGGACTTCTGCTCATTTCTGTCCATCTTGCAGAGACTAAAGAGTAATATTAGTAACAAGGACCCATCAGGCCCTCCTGTAATCCAAAGGAGCAACCTGGTCTTCTCAGGCCGTGCTCCACAGAAACCCAACAGAACTCTCAGAGACAGAACAGAACCTACTTAATTCAGCAGCAGAGTTTTCACACCTGCCAAGCTGCTGTGACCCTTGTGCTATTCTCGATTCCATTTGGGATTTGTCTTGAAAGAATCAGGAACATGCAGTTTTCAACTCCTGGCTTTCAAAAGAAATCACCTACAGGCCTTATGCAGCTCTGTCTTCAGATCAGCTTTGGAGCCGCTGTTCCATCCCAAGCTCCCACCGGACTGTAATTTAATTAATTCCTTTCCCTGAGGAAGCAGCATCGTAGGAATTTTTATGAAACACATATTAAACAAAGTGAGCCGTTTCCATCCCAGTGCACAGGATTCTATAGCTGTGAGAGGATTTACAAACTTGACATAATGATGTCTTCACACAGGAGGGTTTAATGCCCCTGGTCTCCCATGAGGATCTGCAGAATGTTTGGTATCTTCTTTGGGGGGACATGATCAAAAGGGAGGAGTTCAGATTTACCCAGGATCCAATGGGAGAGAGCACCCCAAAAACCTGACCGACAACCTTCAAGAGACTGTGTTTCAGAAGTTTTGTTGCCAAAGAGAGTGAGAGAGAGGAAAGACCTCTAATGAGGGCTGGGAGGGTGACGATGTTCTCCAAAGACAGGCGGATCCATTTCCATGAAGAAAGACCTGGAATGCACATACTGCAAAACAGAACAATTGTCCAAGCACAATATTGTAGAATTAAGTAAGCCTCTATGAAGCACTCACCAAAATGGTGTGGTCCTTATGCTAGTCAGGGTCCTCCTGGGAAACAGAGGGGGTCCTCTTTGGATGATTTCTTAACAAGTTCAGCAAAGAGGTTGTTCCCAAATGAGTGGGCAGGGCAGAGGGGATCCACAGACGGTGCTGTCGCTGTCCCTTGACCTGAAGAGCCCTGGGTGTCGGGAGAGAACGGGTTGCCTGAGTGCCTGTGGAGGGACTAGGAGGGCGGTAAGCCCCTAGCAGCACCTCGGGCTGCCTCAGCACTCCCTGGCCACGCCCTGCTCTCTGCTCTGCCTGGCTGGGATCAGTCCCACCTGAGGACCAGAGTAAGACTCCTATGGAACACCTGCTGGGTGATCAGGGCGGAAAAGGGGTCTCTCTGGGCCCCAGGGAAAGAGCCTGGACTTTTCACAGTTAATTTCAGTAGAAACATACATTTAAAAAATATAAAGCTATCATTTGTAAATGCACAGCTCCAGTCAAAGGTTGGCAATACTGCAGAAATCTCACTATGCAGGGCTGCTGTGTTGTTCTGAGGTAGGAGAGACAGGAAGAAGTGTCAGGGCCCCAGCAAGCAGGAGCTTAAAGCAAGTCCCCAGCCTCCCGGAGCAGCAAGCTATTATATGCAAAGTCGCCTCTCACAGGAAGAGGACACTTCAAAAGTGAGTGGAGGAGCTGGTGGAGGTTGCTATGGCAGCCAGTGTCTTGCACCTGTCCTTGTCCACCCTCTGCTTTCAGAGGGGCAAGGCAGGCTGGGGGAGGGGGAGGGGTGCACCATGTGGAAGGAGAGAAGGAGGAACCTGGAGCCAAGGAGATAGTGTCAGAGAGCAGCAGGTGGCATGCTTCCAGGGTGGAGAGCTGGTCAGACCCCACTAGGAGGCCCAGGCAGGACAATCCCCCTCACCCCCAGTGACATTAGCAGAGGACAAGAGCTGGGAGCTGAGCAGGAGGCCAGAGAGGCACCCTATCTCCCCTCAAGCTCAGCACACAGGCCTGCACCCTTACAATGCTGCCTGAGGATTTAACAGCTGGCACGTGGAGGGCAGGGGACAGTGGCCAGGACACAGCATGACTGTCCAGGGAATGTGAGCTGCTATTAATACCGACCACAGAGTTCTCAGCACAGCAACTCTCCCCATCTCTTACAGCCCCCAAGACTCTCCCTGCCTTTCCTAGGATCAGGACAGAGAAGTAGGATCCAGTGGTAAAGGATTGGCCTTGGGGTGGGTCTGGATCCTGGCACTGCTGTGTGACCTGGACTGTGTTACTGAACCCGTCTGGGCCACTGATGTAATATAGAACCATCAAGGCGCTGTGTTCCTGGGGATAGGACATGGATTCAAGGTGACATACCTTAGCGTTCTTCTCCCTTCCTACCCAAAAACTTTAAAACTTTTGATGGATATTCTTATTTTTCAGCTCCATGGAAGACAGTGCCTCCACTGTGAGAATCAGAAGGACTCTGAAGTCACACCCCAGGTCCTTGTCACCACTGAAGTCCACTGGGAGAAGATGGACTGAATTTTACAGTGAGCCCCAGAGTTCCAGTCCAAATACTCCCTCCATGGCTGACTGTGTTTCTAGGCAAGTTGGCCTCATGCACCAAGTTTTACCTCCCATAGCTGGACATGGGGCCAGTGAGAGCCAAATGGAACAATCCCAGGATGCAGAATCAAGCCAGGCAGCTGCAACTGTGCAGGGACTTGGGGCATCTGATCCCTTTGTTTCTGTGTTGGTGACAAAACCTGAGTAATGTAGAGGAGGAAGGATGGGGTTGTGACTCATGGTGTCAGAGGTTCCAGTCCATGGTCACTGGGCCCCAGACCAAGCATCATGATGAATAGTGATGATGTCCCCTCAGAGCAGCAGGAGCAAAGGGAGGAGGGGCAGATGTCCCAATGTCTCCTTCAAGGGCAGCCCCAGTGACTATTCATTAGACCCCCGGCTCCCCAAGGTACCCTACCACCAGCAGCATCACCAGCAGGTGGCTAGACCTTCCACATGTGGCTGAGGGGGTGAAGGGAATGGTGGAGATCCAGACCACATCCATCTACTTGGACCTTCAATCCACGTCTATTCTCTGGGAAATGCTTCACATTCCAAGAAAGGCCCAGGATTTGATGGACTGTGGGCCAAGAATACGAACCACCATCCTAAACCCCTTGCTTTGATCACTCATCTTCAACTAAAAACATGCCCTAAAATGCTTAGCTTTCTCACACAAGATACAGCTGTGGGTTTCTGGATGTACTCACCAAACTTTCCTCCTAGTATCATCTTCCTACTTAGTTAACTGATAACTTCCTGGCACACATCCATCTACTTGGACCTTCAATCCACGTCTATTCTCTGGGAAATGCTTCACATTCCAAAAAAGGCCCAGGATTTGATGGACTGTGGGCCAAGAATACGAACCACCATCCTAAACCCCTTGCTTTGATCACTCATCTTCAACTAAAAACATGCCCTAAAATGCTTAGCTTTCTCACACAAGATACAGCTGTGGGTTTCTGGATGTACTCACCAAACTTTCCTCCTAGTATCATCTTCCTACTTAGTTAAAAATGTAGTCAGGGCTAAACCCATGGCTCCCGGGGATGGCAGATCACAGTGTCCACCCACCACGGACCACTGTCATCAGCAAAGTGGCCTCACCTCAGGGTTGCACAGCCCTCCCTCCTCCCTCCTACAGCACAGGTGTGGTATTAACAGCATTTCCAGAGCAAACCCATTCTTGCGAGTTTCTCATCCCTCCATGTACCATGCGTTCTTGCTCTTCCTGTGATAACTGGCACTCAATATGGTTCTGATCCATGGTGCAAGTGAGACACATGGTCCATAACAGCACAGCACCAGCCTCTGCTCTGAGCTCCTCTCTGTCCCCCGCCCCCACCTTGCTTCCCTGTTTAACTCCCCACTCCCTCGGCACAGTGGCTCCTGGGTCACAATTGTTGTCATCTGGTCTGCTAAATCCACAGCCTGCAGGGTCCTCCCCCTCCCTCCTTTAACTTTACCCTGGCACAGCTGACATTTGATCTGAAAATAAGTCACTGCCCCAACTACTGCAGGTCACTTTAAAATTCCTCTTTTGCATCCTTTACTTCAAGATGTTTTCTATCATTCCCTGCCTTTCCCCCACAATCACAATATTCTTCAAGTTCCTATAGAAGAAAATTCGGATTCATCTCCAGCATGGCAAAGGAGAGCACATCTCCTGTCTGGAGGAATCTGCCTGCCCTTCCTGGTCAACCACAGGCCAACCAAGAGGCTAACAAAAGCCAGGCAGCTGGATAAATGACTTCTGGTTTTTCCTCTCCTTTGTCAGAAAGTCACAATTCAGGGTGATCCGTAATTAGCCCCCACTTCTCATGCCATGTGTTGTTTACAGGAAGGAGCTGTCCCAGATTCTGGCCCTAAAAAAACCCAAAGAAGGCCTTTGATAGAGTCCTTTGTGGCCTGGTGCAGTTGGGGCCAGCTCACCTGCTCCAGCCAGGAAGAGCAGCATGGGCTCGAAAAGGATGGATCTGTTTTGGTGGCAGTTCGCTGGGGGCACTCACAGAGGCTTTATGAGGAGGCAGAGGCTGGAGCAAACTGGTGGGGACTGTGAGACCAAAGTAAAAGGGGCCTAGGAGTTAGTGCTCTAACCCTCTCCCACTGTAGCCATAGCTCTGACCTTTGTTCAAACCCTGGCTCAGGAATGTAAGGCAATCTTGTACTGTATGAAGTCCAGAACATGATTAACGTGTAAGTTAGTGGTTCTAGACTATGAGATAAAATCTGTACCGTACATAGAGACCCCAAATTAATTGTCTGTTTGCTCATCCTGAATGTCTTGGTGGCCTTTGAAACATCCTATAGGTATCTGTTAATCATCAATGTGTGACTGCTGAGTACGTGACTGCTGAACACCAGCTCGAATCAGCAGACTTTTGTCCCCTGCCTGCAAGCTTAGAATGTTAACCCCCCTTTTTTTACCCCCCCCCATAAAAAGAACCTCAGCCCCTGAGCTGGCACTTCTCTGAGCCAGCTACTTGGTTCTGAGAGTGCCGTCTGGCCAGACTAATAAAGGTCTGTTTACCATCTAGCCTGGTGTGTTCCTTCCTGGGTGACTCTCATTCCTCCGTCGAGCTCCCAGAGCCTCGCTGAGCTATAGGACTCAGCATCGTGAAGGCCCTTTCGGCTGTTCATGCTCCTTGGAGTGGAAGTGAGACTTTAAATCTTACAGGGACAACCTTGTTTGGTCACTCATCCACATTTTGAGAACTGGTAATTTCAATGCTTGGCTTCCGCATGGAATCACTACAACAAGCAAGCCAGCAGTGAGGAAGAGACGCATACAGTCCTTCTACTTGTCCAAGGAACAGATGGGACACAGTGCTGAGGTGTGACTGTGTCCCTTCCCAAGTACAGGTATTGGAATTCAGTGGCCCATGAATACAGTGTAAGTAGCAGGCCTGGCAGGGGTGATTAGGCTATGAAAGTGACTGAGGCTTCAGGTAGCATTGGACCTGCTTGCCTTTCCTCCTCTGGCTGTGCAAGGACACAGCATCCACCCCTTTGGAGGGTTCAGGATGTGCTGCCATCTTGGAAACAGAAAACAGCCCACATTAGGCAGCCAAACCTGCCTGCACCTTGACCTTGAACTTCCAGTCTCCAAAATTGTGAGAAAATAAATTTCTGTATCTTATAAATTATGAAGTCTTGTGTAATTTGTCATAGCAGCAAGGTGGCTGCATCTTTACCATGGGACCAGGGTGAGGTCTGTCTGGGTTGCTGGGCTCCAAGGTAGCAGCTCTGCTGACAAGTCCAGCCCTCTTCACTTGCTATGTCCATCTCTCCACCTGCAGATGTGAGCTGCCTGGGAAGGGCACTTGCTACTTTGTGCCTCTAATGTAGGGGTGCTTCAGGATGCATCTGATTGGTAAGAAAAGGGCTAAGGAACCAATAGTGGTTAGAAATGAGTTTAGAGAGCAGGACAAGGCCAGAACCCATGGGACTTGGCAGGCTGGATAGGAAGGTTGCAAACAGAAGAAGAAGAAAATCAGGAAAGATGTTCTTGGCAGAGCCATAGAAACTGAACTTTAGAGGAGCAGCAAGGCTAGGGCATACATGCTATGGGAAGATGGAGGGAGCTGAGGGTGGAAAGCAGCAGTGGTCTCCAGCTTGGAGCCT